CAAATTTTACTCCGGACGGACGATCGAAAAGGAACGACTGGGTTAGATTCCGCGCGGGGAGGAGGGAGAAGGAGAAGAATGGAAAATTTAAAGAGAGGAGAGATTTTTTTCGCCATTAAAAGATGTTTTCCCCCAGGGCAAATTATCATAAACTTGATCGATTTTTTCGTCCCGGAGACGAGTCGTTCCTCCCGTTCGTTCCATCCGAGGAAGGTTAAATTGTCCAAAAAAGGCGTCGGTCGACGCACAAAAAACAAACCAAGTTCCGTAATTATGCCAATATCGTCCTTTCGGTATTCTTCGGGGAAGCAGCCAGATTTCCTCGTAATCTATTCGAATATTCTCCCGACTCCGCGCCACCACCACTCTCTATACTTTTTCTTAGTCATTATATAAAAGAAAGAAAGGCTAATTTCGAGAACGGCCGGGGGTCGTTTTGCCAATTATTATTTATTATTCTTAATTAATTATTCCGAGAGTAAATATTTAGGGTTTTTGGACCGACGTCGCTGGCGTTCCGAAATTTTACCGGGCCGAGAAGAAAGAAGCGAGTTTTTTAAAATATAGAATTAAGAAGAAAGTGTCGGACGTAAAAATGGGGTTGGGTGGGTTATGGCCCGGCCGTAAAACCAAAAGGAATTTTTTTCTGGCTCCTCCCCGGTTATCGATTTACGTTAAGTAATCGACCGACCTTAAAGGCGGCAGGAGGAAAAGAGTGTTTTCTTTGGCAAATAATTAAGAATTCGATTAGGTTCAATAATAAAAACATCCGGGTGATGTCTAGGATCTTTTTCCTTTTTTACTATCCGCGTCTCGGGAGATTCCGCGGCAAAAACACTATTCGAATTTCCATCCGAACCTTTCTATGGCTAATTACGGAAGGCGCCTTTCCGCCTTCCGAGCCGGGGACGAAATCACTGGTCCTCGATTTTTAAGCCCGGGTCCATCGGACGGAGAAGGTTAAGAGGGAACGACGTTCCCTTTAGCCACCGGTATCCGACTACCGTACAAAATATCGTCTACCCCCGACACCGTTCTGGCGTAAATACGCCCACGCCACTCGGCGTCTGGCCGCAAATCCCAGCCAAACGTAATAAATTGGTCGGTCGGCATTTTTGTACGGTAAAGAGGAAACGATAGACGTTAACGACATTAATAACGACAAAAAGCCGGTTAGAAAACGGGAGTTTTTGGCCTTGTTCCCGCGCAGTAGTCACCGGCGGATGAATGACGAGACCCGAGTCGAAATACCTTGTACTTGTTGGATTGCGCCTACTGTATTTTTCTTCGGAAGAGAGCCGAAAATTCTGCCTTTTTCCTCCTCCGACCCATCGACTCGCTGGTTTAGCCAAAGACGTTTCTTAAGTAATTTTACTGGCGGACGATTTACCTTACTTTTTCCGTCTTTTCCAGTTTTCCGGAATATAAAATGGCCGGGATAGTTTTTAGAAAGGACAAAGATGCGCATCGGAATCGTTGAATTTTACAAAACTCCACTTTCCCTCGATTGGACCGAGTTTAATGGACCGAAGTATGGAAAGCGAAAATCTTTCCCTCTTCGCCTTATTGTCTTTTGGCATTAAGTCGAAAGAACGTTCTTGTATAATTTACGGGGCTTTTAGGCGGCGGCTGGCCTCCCGGATATTAATAACCTCTTGAAAAAATCAAGAACCTATCGATTTTTGATATTTGACTGGGAAAAACCATTAGATTTCCGGCATCCGAAGCGGGCTTAGTTGTATTCCGTGGCTGGCCGCGGCGCACTTTTTACCTAAATTTGACGTGGTTCTTTAGAATTTTTCGTTATAAAAGTATAACCACGTGGCTATTCCCACCCATCGGACGGGCCCTTTTTTCCCACGGTCGAACGTAATTTACGAAAACGTCGGAGCGGCCGACCGGTACTTTTCGACTACGGCGTTAAACGGTAGATGGTCGTCTAAGCGTGGTGACGTACACGAATATACGAATTGCTTTCGGTGCTGGGTTGTCCGAAATGTAGGATTGAATGGAAATCGAATGACACTAAATCGTTTCGGTTATTAAATCGTAACCGCTTTCCTCCAGTTGTTATAAATGCATAAATTCCACCCATTAAAATCTGCGCCTGTTAAATTAATTCTTACGTAAATTGCTGGCGGAAAATGAAATTTTTATTAAAAACTTAGCCAGTAACTAAATTAATTTGTAGACAATAATTTACTCTAATCAAATTTCTTGCCGAAATGTCTTAAATTATCCAGTTTGATCGATTCGTTCCGCTTTTCGGCGTTATTTCGAAACGGCGCAGAATGGCGGTTGGTTTTTGGCCAACTTTTCCGCTAAGATGCGGTTGTCGGATGTCGAAGCGCCTCGTACCGTACGGTACGGCGCGCCAATGACGTCGTGGTCGAGAATAATCCCCTATTTAACGACCAAAGGTGAACCGTCCCGTCGTACGCCCTTCGATAAGTGTTACGTTGGCAGTCGGGGACGCCATTTTAAAAGTGGTCCGGGGAGGTCGTCGGACAATTCCCGAAAAAGAAACGCGCGGGTGACAAATTAATTCGATCGTCCGCCGAACTACGTTAATTCGATAATATAATTAGCGCATTAACGGGGTTTAGCGAAAATCGTAAGTCGTCGGATGCCTCCTACCTCGTCCGCGCGTTAATCCCCGTATAATTAGCGTAAACACCAGGTAATCTTTGATGGACGCGGTCGACGCGCTCCCTTTACCGAAGTATTAACGTAATGTATCGAGGGAAGTTTCCGCTTATAGCGTAGATGGCATTTCCCCGGCGGGACGTTCGATCTCGGACGATTTTGGCAACCACACCTTTATAAAATGGTCCGGTTAAAATCTTTATCCTCGTCGACTGCCAACGATAGGATGGAAGCGCTATTCGTAGATAATTTGCGACGTTTCTTCTCCGTAAACCGCCTCGCCTTCTGTCTTCGTTTTTATCGTATATTTTATTTTTTCGCTTTAAATACGAGAAAATAAGAGTCGACCTTGGTAAAAGGCCGCCTTGTAAGAACTACAAATTACAAAACTCACTTTTTACTTGGGCCCGGTCACGCGCCAGTCCTTTTCGTTTTATAACCAGTTACTTGGAGACTGGAACTTTCCGTCGCAACCACCGCCATTTACTTATCGAATCGAGTAGTGATTTATCAAATTCGGATAACGCGTGAGCAGAAGATGGGCGACAAAATTACGTCTGCCAAGAATAAGCGAGGAGAAAGAAAGTAAAGAGCTAAGAGGGTTACGTCGTCCTCGCAACCAAATGATTAAGCGATGTATATCCGGAACGCATTTATTGTCTCCTTCGTAGGGGTAGCCCGGCGGATAGTTTTCACTCCTCCCTTTCCGCCGTCTACAACGATATCTGTACGGTACTTTTGGCAAACTTTTAATTTTTCTATATAATAGCTTATTCACGCGACTAAGTAGACTCGACTAAGTAATAATAACGACTAGTATTAAAAAGAACAAATCCGGACCTCGCCGATGCCGTCAAAAAGAGGTCCGCCACTCCTTCCCTATCGCCATTTCTCTTTTCCCTCCAATTGTAATTATTGGGTTCCCCGTAATAAATAGAATTCTGGTGTCGCTCGGAGAATTTTTCCAACCTCGGATGCGACGCGACTTCTTGCAAAATTCAAAGTATTCGTTGGCGCATTTCGTATTTCTCTCGGCATTTTATTAAATTTTCACTTTACCAATAAAATCGACGGCTCCCTCTCCCCCGATGTACCGCATCTTTTACAATGAAAATGCTAAGCTCCCGAAGAAGGGAATTTTCCAGCCACGTTGTACGCGGACTGGAGACGATAGCTGCAATTTTTTCTCGTCTTTCGACGATAGTAACGTTAACTTTAGTTTATCAGAAAATAGACCAAAAGTTGGGGAAGATCGGCATTTTGGTCGGGACGCGTCATCTAGCATTAAAAGGGATTGGGCGCGAAATCTTTCCGGTGTCTCGGCGCGTTTAAAGACTGCTGCCCTCCCTCAATCCCTTTTAGAGATTCGAATCGCCTCGCGCCGAAGATCCGGAGAATCTTTCTGTCGGAAATCTCGTCCCAGCGTAAATTGTCGCCATTTATAAAAACGAAAGGCGCCGAGATTTAGTTTCCCATCGACGTCGTACGACGTCGGAAAGACGAGAGAATTAATTGCCTCTAATCGCCTCTTAATTAACCCGGGAGAAGGCGCGTAATTAAAAAGAGCCAACGTGGCCATCCTTCGCTTTTTGCGCCGTTTTTAAAAAAGAAAAGGCGCTCTTCCCTTCGATAAAAGAAGAAACCTGCGCAGAATTCGATATAGACGTCGACGGAATTGGATTCCTTCCAAATCGAGAAGTAGGTCGAACCGACATCGACGTTTCCTCCCGCAACCCCCACCCAGACCGGTCCCCCGCGCAAATACCAAATTCTTCTTTTTCTGCCGAGCAAAGAAAGAAGCCGCAAAATCTATAATTCACGAATGCGTTTACCGACGAAAAGACCGCTAAATCGGGGTCGGACCTCGTCTTTTCGCTAGAAAACTGACCGCCCTCCCCGCTTCTATTTATCTTCTTTCCACTCTAATAATCGTCCCCGCTTCTTCCCTCTTTATTTCGATGGCCGGGATGGCTGCCAGCAAACGTCCCGTTTCCGAAATATTCCTTTAATGAATAAATAAATAAATTCGGCGACAGAATATTTCATTGGTAACAGATGTGAATATTTTAAATGCACCCGGAATAACAGTTTTGCTTACGTAATACCGCCGTCTTTGCATCCAAATCGATGTTTTCTTCTTTTCCACCGAAGAAGATCGCGCCAAACGTTGGTTTGGCCTCGTTAATCGTAAAAATTAGGGACAACGAAGTTAGAGCGATCCTCGTCTCGACCATTATTATTCCGATAGACGGTGCATTACGGACTAATGCCTTTCTCTTTGTCTCGTTAACGGAGACAATTGCGTTAGGACCAATCCGAAATCGCTGCTTGTCGTGACCTTCGTTTCGTTGCAGGCTGTTCCACTCGCCGAATTCCACCCTCGCGTCGACGCCATGATGGTGGACGGAAGTCCAAATCGAGGTGTGACCGTTGCCAATCCGGCGGAAGGAAGGAGGGAGAGTGCGGTCGGAGGCCAGAACGTTCGAGCCGATCGGAACGGAAAAGGTAAGCCGATTTTCCTAAAGAAAACTCTCCTCTTCTTTTTCCTCGGCTCAAATTCCCGTGTTTTGCAGAGAAAGAACCCGCCGAAGAAAAGAAAGACGAAGCTCCCGCTCGGAAATTGGAAGTCAGCGCTGCCGTTTCCGCTCCGCACTCCAGCAGATCCAGATGGCTCAAGTTGAGGACCACGGTACAGCTGACCGGAGCCATCACTCAGAGTCACAAGAAGCCCCCTCTGAAGAGAGAGGATTCCTTTCTCAAGCGCTTCTCTACCAGGCAGGTGGCCGAGACGAACAAGGGCGAGGGTGCCTGGTTCTGTCACGGAGAAACCACCAAGGACCAAGTGAAACGCAAGTGGTGGTCCGCTATCGTCGGCAGCGTCATAAATCCCGACGAGAACTTCCTTTTCGGTTGGTTGTGGTTGCTGACCGCTTTCGTGCTTTACAACGCTTGGACCCTGATCGTCCGCCAGGCGTTTCCGGAACTGCACGGCAACATGCCGACGTTCTGGTACGTCATGGACGGACTTTCCGACTTCTTCTTCTTCCTGGACATCGTGGTGCAGTTCAGAACCGGATACTTGGAACAGGGTCTTATGGTGTGCGACGCCAAGAAGCTCGCTAGTCATTATCTCAGGTCTCGTCCTTTTCTGATGGACTTGGCGGCTTTGACGCCTCTGGACACGCTGCAGTTCCTGGTGGGAAACGTGCCCATCCTGCGGCTGCCCAGGTTTCTCAAAGTGTACAGATCCGTTAGATTCTACTACATGGCCGAATCCAGGACCATCTACCCCAACCTGTGGAGAGTGGTCAACCTCGTACACATCCTTCTGTTACTGGCGCATTGGTTCGGATGTTTTTACTACATGTTATCGGAACTGGAACAGTTCGAAGGAGAGTGGGCCTTTCCCCATAGGGACGGCCGCAACGAGACGCTGACAAGGAAATATCTCGGATCGGTCTACTGGTCCACCCTGACGCTGACGACCATCGGGGATCTGGCCACTCCGGCCACCAATCTCCAGTAAGTACCCTTTTCTTCCGTTCATTTTAGGGCGACACAAAGGCACTGTTATCGACAACCATTAATTTAAGAGGTCATTTGTAGAGGGGTCATTAAGTGCCGGCGGGTCTCTGTTCCGCCACGAATCCGACAAATTCGTTCCCTCGGCTTCCGAATTAACTCGACGTTTAATGGGGGTCGAAACGCCAAGACCTAGGCGGAGAATACGTTATAAGTGGCGTCACTTGGGTTTCGGCCACGCGGTAATTGAAAGAGACGAATCGACAACGAATTCGTCGTCTTCCGTCGCGCGAGATCGTCGGCCAACTAGAAAAGTGACGTCTTCTCATTCGTTCGACGTCATACGAAATTTCAAATGCGTATTTCGAAAAGTAATTTATGAATTTCGAATGTCCGAGCGTAGTGTCTAATTATTGATCGGTCACACTTAAACGGAAAACGAGAAGAAATTTGACAAAGAGGAAGTGGATTGTCTATGCCGCATTCGCTCTTTCTCCTTTATTGGAAAGAGAATACGAGTCGGTCTTCCGATCTTTCGCTCTTCCTTTCCTTTGGCCAGGGAGAACGGAGAGAAAATGTAGACGACCTCTTCCTCTTCCTCGTTGGACGATAAGGGATCTAACAATCCCAACTTTTAAGCGCTTTTACTCGGGGTGGAAGGGCGGAGAAGGCGGGCCTCCGGACTAGGGTAGAACAAGAAAGGAGTATAGAGGAAATTACTTAAAGAAAACGACGGAGTCGGACGAAAGTTTACAAAGAGCTTGGTCAGAGTGAAAAGATCGAGCCGATTATTCTCTTCCGAGCGAATTTGAAGAGTCTCTTTCTCAACGGCGGGGGAAGTCGACTGGCGGCAAATACGGTGGTCGTCGGCGCAATTTCAATCGGTAGAATATTTGGCTTCTTATGGCCGTATTTTCAGCCATTTCGAATGGAGTTTGGGTCGGGACGGAGCTTCTTTCCATATATTCCATATATGTATTCTTCCCACAAAATTCTTCATTCTCCCGGTTTCGTTGTCTTTTAACAGAACCGACGGAAAAGTGGAAAGTCAAATATCGGTTTCCGTGACACAACCCGAGATGGATTAGCGGAAGCTTTTACGCTTCTGGCGCGAACCTTCTCGACTTTCTCGCTCTCCGCGGTATCCGATGGCTCCGCTCCCTCTCGCTTCCGGTTAATTTCCATTCTTCCTTTTCCACCGAAATTACCGAGCACATTCCAACAGTTAAGTGTTTTCGTTAATGTACTGTTAACCTACTTCCGTACTACACGCGGACCAAAATGGGATACAATTTTCTGCTTATTAGGAAAACGATGGAGCAACGTTGGCCTTACGACCGCGTCGTTCTCTTCTAAACGCACTAAACGAACGTTTTTGGTCATCGTCCATTTCTTTTTCGTGTCTTTCCCAATCGATTCGGACAACAAATGGACTTTTATACGTACCGGACGACTATTTGGCCGAATAGGAGGACGATTTTACCCTCCGTACAAAGACGGGGAGGAACGGAAAAAAGAAAACTCGCAATAGGTTTAGTGACGACACTCCACGTTGGTTCCCTTTTGGCTGGAGGGAAAAGCTCTCCTTCGTATCCCACAATTCTTTGCCGAGCAAGTTGGGTAACAAATTACCCGAATATACAGTTTCTAAATTTGAATAAATATTAATTTCAAATCTACATAAAATATCGAATTTCTTTATCTTTTTGCTCCCCGTAATCTGCATAAAACAGTTTTTTGCCGCTGGTAAGTTTCTAATTAACCAACGTATTAAATGCAATTAATCGTGGCATGGATTGAATTAAAATAAGTAATATTTACTCAATTTCTTATTTTATCGAGGTTATGGCGGAGCGGCACTGGATTTAGGCAAACGGATCTGTATTTGGGTGTTAGGTAGATTCTTTCCACTTTGGCCCGGGGAAGGTACTGTACTTAATAGAGTCTGGCTGGTGATTTCCATACTCGGGACGAACACCAGCGGATGGACTCGGAGAACGATGGCGGTCGATGGCTCATTTAATGCCATTAATTTGAATAAATAGATTAGGAAAAGACAAGAAAAACCAATGGTTTGGGATTTACGACGGAGGAAAAACGGAGCTGGTCGTCGTTTACAGTCGAACAAGACGGCAAACATCCCGATTCTTTTGCCAGTAAATGAATGAAATCGAGAAACTCGGAAGAGGCGTAATTTATTGGCAGACGTCTCTTCCTCCTCTTCTACTTCTTCTCCGCCAAAAAAGAAGCGCCTAATCGATTACGCTATTAATTTGACGATACGAACGAAATTAAAAAACAAGTCCTCGAACAATCGGGATCGATCGGGCCTCTTCCGAACGATCTGTTGTCCCCTCTTTTTTCAAACAAAAAGCGGTTAGACAATCGATAGAAGCGTTCGATTTTCTCCCTGTTAAAAACGTGTTTACGCGCCGAAAGAAAGGGGAACGAACCGATAAAGGGTCCAAGACCGCTCGTCCCTCTCTCGGCAATCTTTCTCCTTTACAAAAAGGCGCGCTTCCCGTTAATTAGACAATTTCCTTTCGGCAATTTTCCGTTCGACTTATTAATTGGTCGGCGACGACTTAATTCCAAGGAGCCCATCGATTAGGGACGGTCGATCGAAACGTCTTCGTTAATAGGTGTCGATTCGATGCGGTTAGAACTCTTCTCCCTCCTCCTCCCCGGCCGCGGGTGTATAATGCCCGATTTCGGTTTTTAATCTATGTGAAAGTAAAAGCGTGTTACGTTTTCAGATACCTCTTCACCATCGTCAGCTACCTGATCGGAGTTTTCATATTCGCCACTATTGTCGGTGAGTACCTCTTGTCTTCTTTCTCGCGCCAAGATCTTCCTCTCATTCTCGACCGAAGCGACTCCTTCTCGTCTTCAAATTAGAATGCTTCCCGTTTCTGTGTCTCTACAAACGGAAAGCATTCTCTAGCAATTTTCCGATTGCGCACGGTCCAGCTTCGGTATACAATAGCGCCTTCGTAAGTAGCCTCACTATCATTTACTTCATTTGATAATCTTCGGTATTGGCGAATTACGTGGCAAATGGCAAATTCCAGCGTTAAAACTGCCAATTATGCCGTAGTCCACACAATTCTTATCGTTTGAAGTACTCGATTTAGCGCTGGTTTCGGTGGCCTTCGTACTTTTAGCTTTGGACGATTCGAATTCGGTCGTTTTAACCAAGGGATTGTACTGTACAGTACGTACTGTACATACATTCCCTTCGTTAAAACGGAGGGAATGTACAATCCCTCCGTTTTAACCACCTTTATAAATGATAATAAAATGGAATTTAAGTTAGAAAAATTCTCCACTTTCTGGATAATGGCATTATCGCTGCGGCCCGTCGCTCGCCGACCGGACCCTAATGCCAGCGAAAGAACGAGAGGAAGAATCGCTTGTCGTTGCTTGGCCAGAACGGAGACTGATGTAGGCACATTTCAGGTCAGGTGGGTAACGTCATCACCAACAGGAACGCCAGTCGTCTGGAATTCGAGCGTTTGCTGGTAAGTGCTCTTTCCTCCGCTTCGCTCTCTTACCAAAAACACTTCTCAAACTTTCACGGTCATTGTTTTTACCGAGACCGCTGCCCCGTTCCGTCCAAGACCTCCTCGACTGTACTCGACCGTACAGTACTGTACAGCGCCTTCGATTCGTATAATAATAGAAAGGAAAATTCCTTTCTCCGCCCACCGACCGTTGCCTGAAAGAAAAATGTCGACGTCAAAGGAGCTGCCCAATGACGATAAACTCCGTTTATATTTGAAATCTTTGTTTTTATAAAATGCATCCAACTCTGTTTCCGGTTCTTTTCTTTCCGTTTATTTATATTTTTCTTTCCGTATCGCTTCGGAAATCCATTTTTTTACCTTTCGTTCCGTTTCCTCCCGTCGCCATTTCTTCCCCTTTATCTGGGATGCTAGCGGAATTCCTCGTGTTTCCGACGCCGCTTTGATTTACCATCGCTCTCTTCCTTCATCTCCGCTTTCTCTCGCCTCAGGACGGCGCCAAATTGTACATGAGGCACCACAAGGTTCCCAGGAATATGCAGAGGAGAGTTCAGAGGTGGTACGATTACTCTTGGTCCAGGTAATCCGTTTCGTTTCTTCAACGACTCGCGATTTCCTCCTACCGAATCCACCAACTAACCGTTCTTTCTGGTTTCCAGGGGTCGAATGCAAGGAGGAGGAGACATTCATTCGGCACTGGGCAGCCTTCCCGACAAACTGAAGACTGAGTTGGCCCTCCACGTCAACCTCAAAACGCTAAAAAAGGTAAGGGGGATGCGGTCGGATGGTCGAGGAAGACAGAGTTTTGCGGACGATTTCCGTCTCGTTTTAGGTGAGCATCTTCCAAGAGTGTCAGCCGGAATTCCTGCACGACTTGGTGCTAAAGATGAAAGCCTACATCTTCACTCCCGGAGACCTGATCTGTCGCAAGGGAGAAGTAGCGAGGGAGATGTTCATCATCGCCGACGGCATCCTGGAAGTCATCAAGTAAACCATCAGCGTTATTGGCGGGTGGGTCAGACAGAATGTCCCTGACCTTTCTTCCCTTCCTCTCTTCCAGCGAACTAGGAAAGGTGCTGACGCAGATGAAGGCCGGAGACTTCTTCGGAGAGATCGGCATACTCAACTTGGACGGTTTCAACAGGTATTTTAAACATAATTACTCGAATGTAATTAAATTAAGCGGTCGGGAGCGGAGGAGGAGAAGAACCTTCCCTCCCGACTGTCCCGAGGTCTTCCGCCTCTTTGAACTTTTGGCGGAAGAAATTGGAGTTTGGCTAATTTCTCCCGTCTCCGGGGAAATAAATTATTTAAGACGAAGGGAGAGATGTTTTTCCGTTAGAGAATTCTTAAAGTTAGCGGAAGGAGTGAGAATGTCGACGTTATTCTTGCAGAAGAACGGCCGACGTCAGATCCGTGGGATACTCGGAATTGTTCAGCCTGTCTAGGGAAGATGTGTTAGCCGCCATGAAGGATTACCCCGAGGCTCAGGTAACTCCTATTCCTCCGAATACCGCCGTAATCGAATTGTCTCGCTACTCCGCTTCTCGGATAAATTCTCTTTCCCTTCCGGGATACGCTTTAATTACGACTCTCGAGTAAACGGTTACCTTCTCGCCTAGTCGAAAGGACTCTCCAACTCTTTACAGTTGTGTCTGTCGGGCGCTCTAATGACAAGGGAAAGAATTGACCGGAGTAGGATTATCGGGACTCGGACTCGGGTTAAAGCGCGAATTTCCCAAGGCAAGAAGGGGAAACTGAATTGTCCGTGTTTTGTTTCGACAGGAAATTCTGCAGACGATGGGAAGGAAGCGACTGATGGAGGCGCGACTGTCGTCGGGAGGCAACAAGAAACACGAGGATCGCGTCGACGCGACTAGCCCGACGGGACTGAGAGCGTCGAGAAACAGGGAATCGATAGACGCTTGCAGATCTCGGGAAATGGTGAAGAGAATTAAACACGATGTCCAAAGTTTGAGAGGTCTGCTACGAAGTAAAAGTATCCCCGTGTATGTTCAATTGGCTATTCATTAGGCCTAGACTAGCAAAACTTTTAAGCACTAGGCCTACATGAAAAAGTCATTCTTCTTTCATTTAAAAGTCTTGCTTAAATATTAATTTTAATCCTCTTTAAAGTATAAATGCTTAAATTTTATTGCCACCTCGCCTGGACGGGAGGGTGTTTCTCGCGCCGAACGGTCGCGATACAAATAACTTTGTCAGCTTAAATCGAACGTCCGTTTGTCTGTCGTTGACGCGACGCAGCTTCCCGCAGTTATCCGTTTCACGCTTGCAATTTATTGTAGAAGACAAGTGGACGAGTCGGAAGAAATGGAACTTCAATCGCTGACGTCTCGACAGAAATCTCGGGACACGGAAAGCGGATCCGATATAAATTCCATCCGAAAATTTATGAGGTAGAAAAACTATTCCAATTCTTCTTTGTCTCTTTCCTTTCGTCCGCCTATTTTATATTCGGAACGATTGCAGGAAAATCCGATGGAAAGGGGACGGAGAAAGTTCTCGACCCCTTCGAGGTAAAACGTCATTAATTATTTACTTCCTCTTAGAAAATAGCTGACTCGTTTCTCGGTCTTCTTCCAGGTTTGGTCAGGAAGATCTCTTGCATCAAGCCCCAATTGAGTTCGGACGCTAACGACGCCACCGTCCCCCCTTCGCTGGGCTCGGAGCCTATCGGAAAAGGTCTCCCTCTGTTGGAAAGAATCAAGTTGTTGAAGGAGAAAGAACGAATCAATGTAGAAGGGGAAGGAGAGAAGGAAAGGGGGAGTGCGGGAAGCGACGCCAACACCGTCATAGGAGAAGGACTGCCCCTGCTGGAGAGGATAAAGCTTTTGAAAGCCAAGGAAGAGGCTGCGGTTCGTAGGAACTCGGAAGCGCAGTCGTTGGTTGGGGGAAAAGAAGTGGAGCGATCGTCCGAACTACCTCTTTTGAAAAGGGTGCTGTTGCTGAAGAGTAAGGAAGAGCAGAAACCCAAAAGCGAAGAGAGCGAAGGAAAGCCTTCGAATCCCGAAGAGCAAACCATTAAACTCCCCTCTACCAAAAAACCCAACGCCTTCCAACTAATCTCTAAAAGCATCAATGTACAAAAACAAGAGAATCGGCGAGCAGCGGAAGACAGCGCTCTCGATTCCAAAATGGCGTCCGATAACGACAACGAAAACCCGCAATCGAAATGCCCGAAATTAAAATTGAACGGCGGCGGTTATCGAATCGCCGACAGGAAAGAGCACCCGAACAGGGAGTCCGGGATAGAATCGCAACTGTCCACGGTCGTGGAACACGCGCAATCGCCACCCCCTGCCGAAATCCAAGGCACGAATGCCATCCGAGTCGGACGAGACTCTGCGGAAGAGTCGACGAACGAAGAAAAGGGCGAGCGTCCACCCGAACGGGTCGATCGCGATCCACGGAATGGGGAGGAAGATGCGCACGCCACCAGAAGAGCCAGACTGAGGAGGATGTTGGCCGTGGCGGAAAACACTCGAGAGACGTCTTCGACCGCCGAAGCGCCCAAGACGGTTTCTAAAGACGCGTGGAGCCAGACGGAGGAAGATTGGGCGTCGAAAGAGAAGACGGACGAGGGGGATGGAAAGATGCCCGTTCTCCGAAAATCTCCCGACCGCCCTCCTTCTTCGGACGGGGAAGAAGCGACGATGACGCGCCTGAGGGCGCGATTTCGCTCCACCGTCGACGACTCCCTCTTCGACGACGGCCTCCAAGAGTACCTGATAAAGATCATGAAGAACGTCAGACGGGTGATGAAGACTTACGTAGTGAGTTTCTTACATAAATCCTCGCGAATAAAAGTGAAATATCCATTAAAAATATTGGAGCGGGTGGTGTCGTTTAGATGGAAAAGCAAACCGAGCTGCGATCCAGGGTGGCGGAGCTGGAAGAGGAACTGAGGAAAAAGAAGTCGGTCATCAGAAGACTTCGCTGTTCCCTAAAGGTAATTCTAAAGTCGCTGGGACTTTTAGGTATTTCCCTCTTTAAAATTTACGTCATAAATCGATCGTTTCGTCACTAACTAAAGTTTACTGTACGGGGAGACTTTGTAAATGGTCTTTCTGACGACATCAGGACGACGTCGACGGACGGGCCGTCCCGCTGACGCAGTTCGCCCTCCTGGACGACGAAAGCAGTTACGATGACTCCGACGTCACCAGCCCGGATACGGACACCGAAAACGACCTCCTCCTCAGCTCGGTAAGCCTCTTTCTCTCTCCTCTTTTCCATTACGAACGTCCGCGCGCAAATTGATTCTCCTCGGAGTTTAAGATGAAAACTTTCCGATATTCATTCTAAGTGCGCGTTTGCATCGGCGATTCCTAAATGGTCATAGGCCAACGTACCAAACGTCCTTCAGTCCGAAACGAATAGACCAACCCATTCAACTCTGTTGGTGACGATGAGAAATACACTCTCGATCGAAAGTCTGTCGGTCTATCGACTGGAAATTACGGAAAAATGTGCTGGGGTGCAATGTTTGGCTTTATGGTTCCCGACGTATCTCGAGATTGGGATACGAAATATTCTTTAAAATGCCCTTAAAATTTAATGGGCAGTTCGAAAGGTAAAATCTGAGTTCGAACACTCGTCCTTATTACGGCGCCAATTAAGCCCGCTGGTGGTTTTTTAGGGGCAGACAATTTCGATAGTCTGCCCGATTTCTGTTCGAGATGGTGACCGGCTAGCTTAGTCACGTGATCTGGGCCTATTGAAAGGATTTTTTTTACCCAATCGATAATTTGTGTATCGGTTTAACTGTCAATAATGCTAACAAACCGTAGAGAACTGCCTATTATGGCACGGCGACACGGCGCAATCGTCTGACAAGATATTTCTGTAGCAGTCTATATTCTTGGACTCATTTATAAAGTATATTCTGCCCACACCTTTACTAGATACGATTGGCCAGAAACTTTACTATCTGGATCAATCGATCGTTATTATAGCCCTGGTCTTTTCAACGCCTAACGTAAATTTGCGTCATATCCGTGCAAATTAAATTTGAAATTACCCAAAAAGTGAAATAAAATGACAGAATCCCGACTGCCAACTCTCCAATCGTCACTCTGTTTGGCTCAGATAAGGCGCTGCATATTGTACTGTACTCGTCGATAATGGCTTCTTACGTCGACCATAGGCTGTTAACCCGTTTTCAATGTAAAAAAAAGCAAAAATGCTAACGTAATTTTTCAATTGTTTAATGACAGAACTTATTGCCCCGTGTGCCAAAAAATTGACAAGTGGGGAGATGAATTTTGAAATAAAAAAATATCATTCGTCATTGTCACTGCTAGAAACAAATGAAACTACGGTATTGTGGTTACGGACACGAGCACCGGCGCATTGTTTACGAGTGACGCATTGTATTCGTTCTTTCGATCGAGATCGTGGCTTCGGGCATTTTAAACAATCAATTGCAACTAATTCTTACTTTTTTCTTCTGGAAATGTCTCTGCTGTTTTTTTCTCTTACAATTCCCGCTTTTTAACACCACTGTTGAATAACTTTCTCTTATTTGCGCTAGTTTTTTTTAAATTTTTAATGATTCTCTTGTAGTTTGTTCTTCTACTAGTGGATTTTAGGCTGGGATTATTTTTGGTCGACCAATACACCGGCGAGTTTTCTGTTTGCGCTCTTAAGCTCTCGGATAACGACCGATCTCTTCTGGACTCTTTTGGCCCGCACTTCTTAGTTTTCCGATTGATTCGGGCTGTGTAAAAACTCGGAATCACCGAATTGTCCATCTGTTTTCTACGGCGCGAAGACATCTTCGCCGAATGGCTATACAAAAATCGTTAATAATAGTTTTGGGTAGCCGGTCTTCGACAATAAAAATATTATAAATGGCTATTGTCTTTCCGTGTTATTTTTTTCCTACGCATCACGAGCAAGATTATATGACGTTGTCGATGATTGTAATCTGTGTAGTGACTGGAGTTTACGCGACGTGTGGAGAGGTACGGACTAAGGAACTATACCGTTATCTCGGTAATAATTGATTACAATTATGTACTCATTTGTGATATATGATTATTTGGATAATTAGAGCTGGCTGTTGCTTTGTTACTATTGAGGGATACGAGTTGTTTGGTGATAAGCAGGAATTATTTTCCCGTGACCCATTCGAAAACAGAAATAACGAATCCCGCTCGTTTTACACCCTCCGATGCAATTATTTTCAATGAAACTCCGTACGCGTGGTCGCTTCAGTATTTTCTGTATTGCAAAGTTCGTGGGTTGTGGTGTAGTGGCATAGACTATCGTTTCGTTTAAGAAATCCTGAGAGCCAATCTTTAGTAGCTTGTTTTTTATCTTAACACCAATCGGACGATACTGCATTCCATTTTCTTTCGAATATCCGTACGCTAATGATTCGTCATCCGTTGTCGTAAGTCCAAAATCTATCTTCGACGCATCTGGTGGTGTCTTTTCTCTATCGGTTTCACCATCGAAACGTTGTACCAATTGAAAAAACGTCTATTAAATCTCGTCCAAAACGGGCGAGGCGCCGTACGTTGTTTACGGTTTGCGATATAACGACTGGCTCCCAGGCGCCATTTTGTAAAGACACGAGTAAGACGTAATTAATAATGAAAAACTACAAACCGCACGAAATGCTCGACATTGACGGATGGAACGAAAATGCTTTAAGCATAAAAATAGAGAAAAGCCGTGTGGCGGCTGGATGACTTTCTTAAACGAGTAACCGGAAAGGCTAACGTTACATTTTCTTCAATTCATTTCCGACACTTTTTTGGGGATGAAAATACTTATGAGATGTAATTTCCGTAGACGACAACTTCTGTAAGACCAGAGATAATTTTTGTAGTTGCTTAATTCTAAGCGCCATTTTGATCGATATTTTCTCTTCCGTAAAACTGGCGATCGAGAGTCTATTCGGTCCGTTCTCGCCAAAGACTAACGAAGAGTAACCAAATAATTGGAAACAGTAGAAGTTACTCTTCTTTCTTAAATCTATTCTCGTCCGGCGGAGAAAATCGTAAATCGTTAATTAAACTGTAGAAATATATATAGAAGGACGAGAGACAATTTAGGAATCCCCGAAGCGCGCGGAAAGGGGGAGGCGAAGTGGAGGCAATTGCATTGGTTAGTTTTGATGTGTCGTCGCAGACCACCTCTCGGAGTTCGAGCGTTTCGGAAGAAGTGGAAGGACCCAGGTTGCTTCGGCATCGCTACTCTTGGCCCCAAGGCACTCCGCCCGGAACCGGAAAGGGACGAATGCCTCCGCCCAGTCATTCTTGCGACGAACAAAACTCAATGGTACGAGGCGTTGTGTGTGGTGACTTTGCTTTGTCCTTCCGTTGTACTCGTTTTTGCTCTCGATCCTTCGCTCCCGCACCACCCGGTTCTCCGTCGAGCCCGACGGGTGGAAGAAAGCTGACTTTGAAATCGAATTCTTGGTGGCGGGCGTCGTCCCGCCACCGGAAGTGTTCGATTTTCCGAAAGAAACGATGCTTGTTATCTGTGCGGATGCTTTTTATTTGCGTCTGTGTCCCTCCCCATCTGCCATGTTGTGTGTCACGCTGCATGACTCCGGTAAGCGGATGTTTCCGTTCCGTGTTCTGTGTATTTCTGCTCGAAATCCCGTCTTTTCTAAACGGCTTTGCATCGTATCGTCCTTATCTTTTCTGTTTGCCGTTTCTTATTTTCCCATCCCGATTCTCCGCGTGACCAAAATTCTAGTTTAAATTTACGAAAATCTCTTCTATTATTTTTTAATGGCACGTCTATTGAATATGTGATATTTATGTGGCACGCACCAATCGGAATCGTCCTCTTAAGCCAGTTTTTATTTTTATCGTGATTTATTTTCAAAGGTGAATTTTACATGGTGTAGTTTCGTTTTCCGTAGTCAGGTCTGGTGTTCGAACCCGACGACATCTGGAGGGTAGAGTTTCCGGCCAACGGAGTCTTCTCTGGATCGACGGACAACAACCTGGAGGAAGCGCTTCCAGAAGCTAACGATTCGTTCAGCTCGGAGGGGGAGGAGGAGGAAGAGATGGCCACCTCGTGCAACTGGGAAGCCAAGATGCTGGTGGAAGAATTCGAGAAGAACAGGAGAAGATCCACCGACGACGCCATGCTCTGGAGTTGGATGGTAAACAGGAAGAGCCTTCAAGAGTGGAGAAGGTCGCGTCGCCAGGGGAACAGAACCAAGAGGAAGCTCAGTCTGGTCGACGAGAGGACGCTAGACACCTGGTCGGCCGGAACCGAATCTCTCTTCCACCTGGGTGGACAGACGCGTTTCTCCAGCACCGAACGTCTAGTGGAGGCCGCACCTTCCTCGCCGGGTGCTTCCTCCAAACGAATCCATGGCAAGGAACAGGGATCTTCCGCCGTTTCCGGTCGGAAGATCAGGAAGCGCGGAGGATGGCGCGAAAATCCGGGAAGGCCGAAAAAAGGTATGCCTCGCTGGTCGAGTCTGGACGACGGGGGAGGGCTGAAGCTGGTATCGGGAGAGGGGGGAGGAAACTGCCGCGTGCAAAAGAGAGAAAACGTCTCGACCGCGGTTCTGGGGTGGCCTTCCAGTCCCTGTCTTCCCACTATCACGGAAGACGATTACCACCCGCGCCCGTCGCGTCCGCGCCGGGGGTCCCCGCCAGTCAGCAGAAGTTACAGCCAAGACTGTCTGACCGGAAGATCGGCTTCCTCCCTTCCGGCCGAGTGCCGGTCGGACGACGGAGCTTCGGAAAGGCACTCGGAGAGCAGCGAGCACGGGGAGGAATCTCCCCTCATACCTTTTGCTCAATGTAGCGACGACAGCGTCGTCATCGACCTGCCCGAATACCAGACGCTGCTGGATCCCTGAACGAGCGGTCGGCGCGTTTTCCGTCGTGGTCGAGCGACGGACAGCAATAAGTTGTTTGGTCGTTCCGGTCGCTTTCCTTTCTTCCGCCGGCGCGTGGCAGGGATCCGCCCCATGTACATAAAACGCTGTACACATTGTAATATAACACTCGAATCGGTCGAGCCGGAAAGCGGAATCGCGACTACCAACGACGAAAAAGTGCGAATGTTGCAGCAACTTTTATCCACCTTGATCCTTTAATAAAGAGAATTCGCACCAGACTAATCTAGAGTATACATAAAGATCTGCTAGAGTATAATTTTTTATGTACTAGAAATTATTGTTATTATTATTATTATACGAGAGAAGCACGACATATTAAGATTGGAAATTTTGTAATACTTTTAAAAACTACAAATTAAAGTTATTTACTGAAATCAGCCTGAAAAGTCCTTTGGCCTACCTCCTCCCGTCCCTCCTTTACTCCGCGGTTCCGGGACGTTCGGAAACTCGCACTCGGCGGACGGAGGGTGTTTCGTCGGTAAACCCAAGTAATTAGAGACGGGAAGCTTTTCTTTTTCTTTTTCTTGCGCGGGTTTAACGACCGACGGAAGTTTGTTCCGATAATTACGGCCGACCGGAAGATCCGAAATACGAGAAGACTCGCGCTTCTCTTAATTAATCTCGATGACGCTTCTATCGAAAAAAGAAAGACTTTCCTCTTCCCTCGGTTAAAGTTTAAAGACGGGGTTCAATTCGTCCGTTCGTCGTTCTTTGCCAAAGTTCTGGGACCGGAGATCCGCTAGCAATTAACTAGCTTCTAGTCCTTCCAGTCGAATTAAAATATTAATTGCCGGGAAGACTGAAAATGACATCTCCCCTTTTAAGTGGCGCGCGATAAATTTTCGGAGAATCACCCGCGCTATAATTAAGGGATTACGAAGAAGCCGAGGGAGGGAGGAAAAATCCTTAGCACTCCGATCTTATCTGTGGCTGGAAGAGCGGAGTGCTAAGGATTCTTCTTTTCTTTCCGCTATTATCGTGTCTAACAACTTACGAGAAACTTTCCATCGCCTTTCTTCTTCCTAATCCGTCTACCGAGCATTTTCATTCTGACCGAGTGTAAAATTCGATAATACGTCATGGCCGTTCCGTAATTCGTAGCCCAACCCGATGATGACGAACGGGTGCCGAAACTTTCGGCCAATCGCTGGCCGGTGTCTTCGCCCGGTAATTCCGTAAGTGGAGATATTTTATGATCAAATTATAAAAGCGAATTTCGTGGACCGTCGGAGATGAAATTTAGGGGAATTGGACGCGAAATATTGTAAAAAATAAAAGATTGATGGAACGGGTCGTGTCGCGTTAGATTCTTATCGGCTGCCGAAAAGTCGTTTTTGACGGCTAATTGTTATAACGAACTTTTTAAATATTTCGTGCTTTGCGCTTTTTATTTACATCTTTGCCAAAACTCAAATAGGGTAGTCAACGTCTCTCTTTTCGATGCTGATTGCAATCAAACGTCACCGTTTGGGGCAGTCGAGGACACTTTTTCCATCAGGCTTTATAGTGTCCGCAATTGTCTCGAGGTTCTCTTTGTAGTATATTTACTAGGTTTTCTCGTAATATTCTATAACTTGTGATTGCAGCCATCGGGATCTGCTCCTAAAATGGCAGTGATTTAATATTCGAGATGTTCGTTTTCCATGTTTTATAAATTGACGAATCTAACGTATTTCGATTTCTAATGAATTTGTGCAAATAAATAATTATATTTAATTTCTTCATTTCCTTTGTCGCTAAAGTTTGGCTACTTTCTGTCTGTCCATCTGTCCGACGTTATCCCAGGTACTGCGAAGTTGTCTATTTTTACTTTTTGGGAAAGAAAACAAGTTAGAGTTTTGAATGCGATATACCGCGTAGTAGCCAACGGATTGGAGTATCGAGCCACGTAAAAAGATGCAAATTTTCTGTAATGAATCTAGTGATACAGACTAAAATCGTGTCCGCCATTCTCTCTAGTCTCAGATGACGAATAGTCATTTTTGGTACGACTTTTCGGCAACCGCCTTTGTTTCTCCTTCCGCCATTTCTCGTTTTCGGCCATCGAGGCTCGAGTTTTCCGTCGTAAAAATATCTAGCAACGAGTTGCGTAACTCTCCCGGCAAAATTCTTATGTTTAAAAAACTTTAAGATACGTTAGCACCGAGTTAAAATTGTGTGTGGTCCATCCGTTATGAGACGTTATTGAAAAATAACTTTTATATTATTAAATATTATAAATACGCTTAATTTTGAAGATAGAAACGAGTTTCAAAAAATATTGTAAATGCCGTTAACGAGTAAAATTTTCACTAAGTCCGACTCCACTCGAGATACGACGCTTCTACCTCTCTCCTCCTCGACCTTTAACCAGCGAAATATTTAATAGCATCGATGCCCTTTATACACAAGCTACCACGCCAAATTTCGTTTCTTAATATTTATCCCATCCTCGGATGTAAAACGAAACAGATGCCAGCGCACACGCATACCCGCGTACCCCGGTATTAGTTTTTGACCCTTTTGGGTTTGAAAGAATCTCAAAACGTCGAGATTTTAAACACGTGGAGGGCCAAATGTGACACGATTGGAACATAATATTATAACAGCCGGAAAAATACGTGAAATGGATCTCCTCCGACCTTGTCCAAAACAAAACCAGCCGTCTACCCACGAGATGTTCTTCACTATAGCGCAGTCTCGTTGATCCGGCATATCTGTAAGATGGCCTTTGCATTTCCGTTTCCGTGAAAATGTTACTCCTGTCATATATCTCGTTTTCTTGTTTACTCTGGTTTCATTTCTGTGTACAGTATTGCGCGTGGGTGCTCCGTATTACTGTATTTTCCCGTCTTCCTCCAAAAAATCGGTACCGGAGCTGCGCGTCATTCGTTACCTTTAGGCCAGAGTTTCCCAACGCAATCGGAACTGACCCTTTACGGTCGATGAAAGTTGTTTGGCCACGATAAAACTTTATAAATATAAAAAATTTTACACATTTTTTGGCTCTCAAATAAATATAGGAAGATGAATTTTAAAAATCATATAGGAGACTGACTGTCACATGTTTATATATTACATAATATTAAAGAGGATCGATGGAAACAAATTTTCATAAAAGGAGTCGATAGACGAAAAAGGTTGAGAACCCCCGCTTTACGCCTGCCTGCTCTTGGTAATCTGCACTCTCGCTAATATGGCACACCACATTTGTGCACGGAATGTCCGGATTAGCGAGAGTCTAGTGTATTTTCTTCCGGAAATGCATTTTTCTCTCCCAATCATTCGTCGGAATCGGTGAGTTCTGCACGAGAACGAATACTTTGGACGGTCTGTTTGTTACATTCTGAAACGTCTTTTCTGGTCGAAGTCGCAGACGGCGTTTTCGCTCCTCCGTTACGCTGATTTTCCTTTGGGCGAGTCGGGGAGGGTATTACCCTCCGGAGATTGAAAAAATATTCCCTCGTATAACCGCATATAAAATACATTTTGTAAAAAACATAAAACAACCATTATTTCTACGTGTACATATATAAACATATGTATTAACCGACCAATTGCATTCGTCACACTTTCAGATAAGAAAAATTTTCCCAGTGAATGTTTTCTGAAAGAAACACTACCGTGTTACGAACTTCTTCCGATTCCTCGGTGACAAGAAAGACTTGGATTGCAGTTTTCTTCTTTCAACGCTTCCCGTTCCATTTTGGATTCATCGCATTAGCTATTTACCTGACGTGATAAGCGTTACCCTTATTTGTCGATACGGCGGGAGATTATGACGAAGGACGGCGTAGTTATCCCGGAGCCAATTTCTTTTCCAAAAGTTTACCAATTAAAACTGGAATTGTTACGGTCGGTCCCCGAATTTCGGACGCAATTCGTCTCTAAAAATGAGTATGGAAATCGAAAGTTGCGCACGTTATAATTTCTTAATTTGTATACTCGATATCTTTCAATCGTACTAAGGAAGAATACACGGCACGGGTACCGAACGTTACATTATTTTACTAATTACGCTTATAAGGTACAGATCGGTGACACGAACGGCAATACTTTGGAAGCAAACACCAATCATTCTATTACTCGAGGATAGAGATCATACATTACGTAACGTTTACGTAAACACTGCCACCTCCATGTAAAGCATCGTAACCAGTATACGTATCCTCCCATAACTGCGTTACTTAATTCATAGATAATCCCGATTCGACATAACCCTCGAAGTTACAAAGTGCTAAGTATAGATCTATACCATCGTGAATCTCACTCGTAGCGCATCTATACGGAATTAATAGGGATACAGAAAGGAAACAATATGCCTTACAAAATTTTTTACTACTCGAGGTATCCGGCTTTATTCGGAAAAAACCCGCGGAAGGAGGTTCAGCCGCGCCTGATACCCCCTAACTCCGTCCTTGCCCATACGACACGCGCAGTATAATAATCGGCGATAAAAACAATGATTGCAGTTGTATCGAGGATTCCACCATAGACGAATGATTTAGATTTTCGGTCATGTAAAAATCATCCTAATGACCGAAAACGATGGCGATTCCGTGGACGAATAACAGAATGTTCTTTATAGTCTCATAAAAAGGAAAAACACTTCAAAATCATCCGCCACTCGATTCTATCGCGAGCCTACCAGAACCCACGACGGAACCTAAGAAAAAAAGGCCCTCTTAGTGCACACAGGACAGAAAGAGCTCTATTACGAAAGGAAAAGAGGATATTTCATCAGTGCTGGATATTTTCAAAGATGATTAAGAGGAATGGCTAGTAAATTCGATTTCTTCTCGGGCATAAACACTCGCCAGTCGTCGTCTTAGAATCTTTTATTTCTATTAAAATGACTGAAATGTACTGTACTCTTTATCCTCTACAGCTTCTTTGTAAATATACAATAACGCTGAAGAGGATAGAAGGATATTTTATACATATACAATATATCATTACAGCTTTGATATCCATTAAGAAGTATTTAATGAACGGGTCGATTCTCTGTCGAGAAGACGAAATGGCAATTAATTGTGGGTAGAAAAACTCGAGAACTTCATATTTTTAGAAGGAGAAACTTTGGCAGAAACGGTCGATTATTTTTAATAAAGTTTTTATCGTTTAAATCGTTATTTAAACAGCACAAGCAATACTTTCGGCTCTTAGAAACGATTTTTCTTTTTCTTTTCTTCTTCAAACGTTCGGTCTTTTATACGATTTTTAATGTTGATAATCAAATTCGATAACGATAAAAACCAAATGGAGTTGTTGTCTTAAAATAAACCCCCTTTTTTATTACGCGACCCGTTTTAAAAGAAAAATCCGA